ACGGGACTTCAACCAGAGCTCATACGGCTTAACCCGCTGCGCCATAGTGCCGGACCCTGGTGGCAGCTTCCCCACAGAAACTCATCATCAGTAACGTTACCAGTAGGCACACTCCACACCCCCCACAAACTCTGTGCTTGTGTGTGTTGAAAAGTATTTATTTGGTGCAAGGATGCTGTTGGCTAGGTGCTGCAGATAAGCATCATAAAATGGCACAGATCTTTCCAAAAAGAAATAGAAAAGGCAAATCATCCAGGAGTTCAATGAAGAGAGCAGAAAGTAACTTCTCCTCCAAAGGGAGGGCAATCTTAGAAACTGGGAAACTGAGGCTGACTCCCACCCTGAAGGCAGCCCAGGCTAGACCAGGAGCGCATCAGCAAGACAGTGGCCTATGCCAATGATTCACAGTGCGGGGAGGCGGACTTGGGCGATGTGGAATGGCGGGGTGGAGGACACAGCAGCACCCTGTGAGGATGGATGGATGGAGGAAGGCACAGAGCAAGGAGACCTGCTGAAGATCATCAGAACAATGGAAGCCTGGCGTAAGTACCAGGAAAAAGGCTAAAGAGGGCAGAACAGGCCTGACTCCCGCAGCCGGGTTTGGGAGCAAACCCAACCGGGACCAACTCAATAAGGTTTCCAGACACCTTCAGAGAAGGAGAGGGAACTGACTGACATCCCCAAAGAGAAATTCACAGGATCGTTGTAGAGAATGGAAAAGCACAAGAGCATTGGAAATCGACAATCACCTGTCGCCTGCACCCACCAGACCCATTTAACTGACACTTGGTTTCACCCACCTACAGATCTTTATTTCAGAAAACCGGCATTACAGACTGTGACACTTTAAAAATCTGTTCTTTTCATTAAATGTTGTAACACGAGAATGATCCCCCTCCATAAAAATACGGCCTTAGAGCGCCGGGAACAACCAGAAGAAGCTGAAAAGAGGCAAAGACAGGCTCCCAGCCGGCAGCCTTGAGAGGGAGCACGGTTGCCAGTTAACGGCAATTTCTGGCATCCAGAGCTAGGAGAGGATAAGTCTGTCGCTCTCTTGCTCTCTCTTTACACACACACACACACACACACACACTCCTCAAATACATAGCATAAGCATGCATCCACCCCCTTTTCAACGAGTGCTAATATTCTGTCCGAAATGATACCTTGACCGACTTAGCAATTTCCCTGTTAGTCACAGAGTCTTTGTGACTTTTCACTCTCCTAAGTATCCCTGTAGTAATCACACCTATAAACAAACACTCATCATGCCCTATTTTCCTTTGAGGGAACTCCTAAAGAGAAAAGTGCTCCATCAGAGGGTCTGACCACCCTGTGTCCCCAGAGTCCGCCCAAGCCTCCGTCGTGTCAGCATGGCTGCCTACCACCGTGGTGTAGCACTTTGTTGCTGAAACGTCTCCAATAAAGAACCTCTTCTCCGTTAACCTACCCATGCCAAAACCCAAGTGCCTCAGCAAACAGGGCAGACCACATAGGCACCTCCGTTTCCAAGGGGCATTTAAAAATCACTATTGGGAAAAGCAGTCGGAAGTATGCGTGCTGGCCGTGGTCTGGCAGGATCATCTTTCTGTGAGGTCACAAGGTTTGGATCCAAATCCCTGTCACCAAACCCTGTCCTGTGACTGAACTACAAGCTTACTGCATTAGGCGAGACTGGGAGTAACAGAGACTCCAAACTCAGTTAAATTCTAGAAAAGGATTCCGGACCTTCCCAAGCCCTCATCATGGGGATTAATCCCAGCGTGCCACGAAGACCGCAGGATGCCACCTCAACCTGGCACCTCCCGTTCTCTGTGCCACTCTAAGAAACAATTTTATGACTCCAGTATTTTGGCCAAAGTACTCAGTGCTTTCTTTCATAAAGGAATGCAGAGTGAAGATTTGCGTTTACCCTGAAGAAGCGACTTTCTGTGATTTCTCCCAAAATCTGCCAAACATCTTTTCAATCGATAATCCCAACAGGGCTGAATTTTTTTAGTTTTACTTTAAGGACCAGTTTAGTCTAAGCAATTTAAGGGAAACTTATTTAACACCAGTGCTTCAACACAATGCCTTTTAGAAATGATTTGCAATCAGCAGGAAAAGTACCCACTGACAGATAAAAGTAAAAATAAAACTACATATTTATCTGATATCCAAAAAAGAATATTTCCACTTTGAAAAGTCAGTGACAAATTATTTCTTAGGACAAGATGGTCTTGAACATATTATAACTTGTGAATGATAGCTGATTAGGTAAGACAAACAATTATGAGTCTGTTACTTCTAGATTTATCAATTCCAATAAAATCTGTAGAATTAGAGACAAACTCCAAAATGACTTGAGAAATGATCTAATAAATGTACAAAAATAAGCTTTTGAAATCCCAGGTCCCGGTTAGATTGTGATGACTGATTCCATACAGGGACAACTGCACAGGAACACACATGTGTAACACGTTGGAAGGCCAGGTATCCTGGCTTGCTCTTACATGGCCGGCTAGCCGGAACTGAAGATTATTTTTCCTCAAAGTTTTACATGATATCCAAAGTGTATTCTGCTCAAGTTCTCAAAAACTCCCACCACCAAAAACTGCAGAAATTTCTCCTAAATGCTGGACTGCTCATTCTATCCAACTGGAGCTAAACGGGGATTTAGGCATCTTTTTCAGGGTCGGCATCAGAAACTCTTAACCGGGGTTAAAATACACTGGATGATAAAAGGAACTCATTTCCATAGAAAATGACACAACTTGGACTGCACAAGGTGGCAAACAGCCGAAGCACCCTGACAACCACAACATCGACCGTTTTCTCACGGTGATTGGAACTCACTGTCCACTGCCGTTCACAAGTCACCAGAAACAGCCCTCCTGTCCTGGTGTGTGCGTGTCCGTGTTACACGTGTATGCCCTGTCTCCTGCGGCCCATTGCCAAAGCTTTCTGAAAACAAACCGCTGCTCCTCTGGGTGGGCAGGCAAAGCGGCCAGTGCAGTGGGATTTTGTGCAATGCTAAGCTCACTGAATGGCACCCACCAAATGCCATATTTATTTAACTTGTGGCTTTCAGGGTTAGGAAAAAAAAGGGGAGGGGGAGAAAGAGAGAGGAGGTTAGTGTTTCAAAACCAGAATGTCAACCATAAACCCTCTCTGGTCAGGGTGTATCCGCAGTGTATACTCTCGCTTCTTATACAACCTGGGTTCTGAAACCTTCCTACCTCCTGTCTTATTTTTTAAGTAACAAGCGTTTTGCTAAAAAGACCTACACCTGGAGGAGCCCACGCCTTTCCCACCCGGAAAGGAACGCTGCTGGGGAAACTAGAAGCAATGCCTGCGACTTGGATGGCCTCTGATCACAGGGACCCACAACCTCGCGATAACCGAGCCCATCCAGGCAAATCCTGGCGGCAGTTCACCTGGCATGGGTCAAGAGAAAAATCTGACTTCTGTCGTCCATTCGATTTTAAGTTAATTGGATATGGTTTTCGAGACACCTGAGCCCATTTTGCTACTACCAAAAGAAAAAGAAAAAAATCTGCAGTCTGATGAACTTTCTCTTAACTACAAGTTTCCTCAACTGGTTAACAGAGAAAGATTGTTTCACAAGATACACTCTCACACTTAGGAGCGGCCAGATTGCCACTCTAAGTGGAACAGAAAGGTTTCTGAAGCAATGATTCTCTTGACGGGTTAAGTGAATTAGCTGCACATGCCAATTCCTGAAAATGCAAATTTGCCATCATTTTTCAGTTTTTAAAGGACAGGGAAAATAAACTAAACAGTAGAGAAGCCAGAAAGTGGAATTTGGAATTCCAGCCTTGGTGTCTTTTTAAAAGCACTGTCACGAGTAGTCCTACATTTGCAGGCACCAAACAAGAAGGGGCAAACAGCTTTTCAAAATAAAGCTTTGTCATAAAACAGGCGATTTCCTCCAGGAGCCAATTCTCAGCTTACTAACTCACCCAGGTGACAACGCTGCTCCACGGCGCTACCTTTTGCATTGTTTTGCATGGTCTTCGCCTGTCTCTCCTATTTAATTAAATAGCTCCAATTTTACACGTGGACGACTTAAAAGGGCTGAGGGATTCCTGCACGAGGTCCACTTCCAACTCTCGGGCCCGGCGCTGCGGCACCGCCTCGCCGCCCGCGCGCACCGCACGCTCTCTGGCTCCCGCACACACGCGCGCGAGCTCTTGGCGGAAGGCTGAGAGCCCCAACTTCGAGGGAACTCAGCAAGTGAGCGGAGGCACTGTTTCTGGGGCTGCGGGAACAGTCATTTGAGAAACCCCACAATCATCCCCTAACTACGGAGTTCTGGAACGTGCGTCCCGCACACCCCTTCCCCACACTTCCTCGGCTTCGCGTTTGCCAAAGGCAAGTGCCCCCCAACTGCAAGCTGTCTCCCCTCCAGGATCCCGGACGCACAACCCAAATCAAAGTCCTACCGCAGCGTCCTGGCCAGCATTCCGGGAGCGACGCTTTCGGCCCCTCTCATTCTGCTCCCCACATCCACACCCCGCCCCCGAAGTCTACCACAGCCCGGGGTTCGGGGGTTCCCGCCTCGCGGGCGGCGAGTTATCGATGAATCCACACACGCCCCGGCTCCGGAGAGACTTGGCCAAGAACTTTTCACACCGGCGCCAGCGCCAGCCCCTAACAGAGCTTCTCCCCAACTCCTTCCCAAAGCCGCCCGCACGCACGCACACAGACACACGCACTCCCTCCCGCCGGCTTCCAGCCCCTGGCGCTCAGAGAAGCCCTGACCCTCGGGTCCCAGTAACCTGAGGTCACCCAGGAGTCAGCTCTCGATTCCGCTTTTAAAATCCCGGGCACACAAAGCCGAGCATTCTACTTGGAGGGTGTCTCCGCAAAGTTCTGCAAGTCACGCAGCGCAGGGTGCGCGGACACCCCCAGAACCCGCGCCCTGGAGACGCACCCAGCCGGGGCCACGGCGCGCCGGCCCCCGGACGCGCCCCGCCGCCCGCCCGGGCCACCGCTACCTCTTCCTCCTGGAGGTTGGCCTCGCTCGGGGTGTTCTCCTTCTCGGCTTTGCCGCCGTTGTTCATCTTCCCGGTCCTTCGTCGCCGGGCAGGGCTGGGGCGCGGGGCTGGGCGAGGGCGCGCTCGCCCGCTTCTGCCTTCCCCGGGGCGCCGGGGCTGCCTCGGGCGGGCGCCGCGGGGCTGCGAAGGCTCGGGCTGGGCTCCCGCGGCGCGCAGACGACGGCGGCGGGCGACTCGGGGAGGAAGTGCGGGCAGGGCGCGGGCGCGGGCCGGCCGAGCGGGGCGCGGAGACAATCGCGACCGGGAGGGAGACCTGGGGCGGGAGGGCGGGCGCGAGGGAAGGAAGGAAGGGAGGGAGGGAGGAAGAGAGGATGGGGCGAGGGCGCGCGTCCCAGGAGTGAGCGCGGAGAGCTGGGGCTGGGGGCTGCCGCTGCCGGAGCAGAGCGAGGCTGGAAGGAAGGGATGGGGCGGCCGGAGAGGAGGAGGAGGAGGAGGAGGCGCCGGCCGCGGCTGGGACGCTGGGACGCGGAGAGCCGCTGGCTGCGCGCTCCTGGCCGGCTTTGGGAAGTCCGAGTCCGCTGCAGCTCCTTTCTCTCGCCTCCCTCCCTCCCCTCTCCGCTCTCCCCTCCCTCTCCGCCTCCCTCCGCCCTCCCTGGACGTGGGCTGCCGCCGTCAGCCCGCAGGGACGGGACGGGGGCCGCCGAAGCCCCCCGGCGGGAGGAGGGGCCGCGGAGTCGGCGCGGCCCGGGCCGGATGGCGCGCGCCGGGGAGGGGCGGCGGCGCGGAGCGGAAGCGGCCGACCCCGGCCCCGGCTCGACGGCAGAGCGAGGGCCGGGCGGGCTGAGCAAGGGAGGCTGGAGAGCCGGGTCCCCGGGCGCACGCGGCGTCCCCCGCGCCCCGGCTCGGAGAGGGGGCTTCGGGGAGCCGGGCCCTGGCCGTGCGCGGACCGGGGGCTGGGATGTGCCACTTTTGTTTGCCTGCTTTCCACGAGGGAGCTGCGCGCCCCCGGGCTCCTCGCCGGTAGGGGCTGAGACGCGGGTCGCGCCCTCGGGGCGAGGGCTTGGAGGCCCGGGACGGAGGAACGCCGGGGACAGCCGGGCCCCCGTGAGCCCCCCGCGAGCCCCCCGCCGGCCCGCTCTGGAGTTGATTGTTCACCTGGCCTCTCTTTGGGGAGCGCCTTCCTGGCAAAGGAGACCGAGCCCTGTTTATCCGGCTAATCCCGCGGCTGTTTAAATGAGCCCCCCGGCACACAGTGGGCACTTTTCTAAACGAGTCTTGGCAGGCAGCCCTGGAGGGTCAAGGCATTCGGGCAAAGCGAGGCGCCCGCCTAGTGTTCCCGCCGCGCCTCTGGGGGACTGCCTACTTTATTTTCTCGTCCGTGAAATGGGTGCAGTTACCCCGGAGTGTGGGGGGCACGCCTCACACCCTCCTGCCCGCTGTAGGCTTACAACATGGATGCTAACATCATTATGAAGAAAATTTCCATTTCTTCTGGGCCTGGAGCCTTTTGTCTTATGGGTCCAGTTATGCGTCTAAACTTGACTGCTACAAATGTATAACCTTACAACTCGCAACTAGTTCGTTCAGCGCCGCCTCCCGCTCCCAGGAATTCCTTCCTGCACAGCACCTATCACAGTTTCTATTTATTGACTGGCCTGCCCTTTATCTTGCCTCCCCTCCCCCCTCCAGAGCTTATACAGCTTTGAGTGCTGGTGGGGGTGGGGGTGACAGCAGAAGATAAGACCCTGCCTGTAGGGAGCTGAAAATGGAGTTGTGGAGACCAGATACCAGGAACAACTCCAAAGCAACAACATCCTGGCAGAGCACAAACATCTTTTGCTTTAAGGGGATCAGGAAGGGCCATTCAATAATCTTCTTGGATTTACAAGAGAGTTTCACAAAGTTCATGGAAAATGCTTACTATGAAAAAAAACTATGCATGAATTTCCAACCCCCCCCCCAATTTTTTGCAGCCTGGTAAATGTATATTTTCATTCCATCTTTCCATGAGCTTTTTTGAAATACCATGGTATGTACCGGGTTTGTTCTTTGAGGTCTGCAGATTTTGAAAGAAAAGTTTTCTATCCGGGAAAAAAAAAAGTTTTTCTCTAACTGCTGCCACGGTGTCACCGATCTCTCTGGGAATGAAGGTGCATTGCACATCGATGAGAATAACCTAGGAGGAGGCTGTTGAAGCCGCAGCTGAAGATGTTCCGAGGGGCGAGGCTACGGGGAGTCCGGAAGCTGTGTCTGCCTTCTGATGTGTTGGCCTGGGCTGGCAGCCCTGTCCGCGGCCTGCTCCTCCCTCAGTTAGAGGAGGAACCACGAGGGGGCGATATCTTCCTGAGCAATAGTTGAGCGGTGGTCTTGGGCCCTGTGCCCTTCTCCACTCTTGCCTGTGACAGAACCAAACCCCCTTTTGCTGAGCCTGACAAACCCCAAGGAAAGTGACGATTAAGCCGGTCCTTGATGTCTCCAGCCAGGCCTCACTTCGGAGAAGGTGGGTTATGTTGTATGACTTCAGGATCCTGGGGGACCCCCCCCCCCAACCCAGCGAAGTGTGGCTCCCTCCCAAACTCAGAGACTGCTGCTCCTATCTTCAAGCCAAACCAGGACTTTGTCCATTGTTGAGGTCAGAAATCTCTGGGATAAGAAACAAAACATTTCTAGGAGTTGTTTTGTTTTTTTGACAGGCAGAGTGGACAATGAGAGAGAGAGAGAGAAAGGTCTTCCCTTACCGTTGGTTCACCTTCCAATGGCCGCTGCGGATGGCAGGAGCCAGGTGCTTCTCCTGGTCTCCCATGGGGTGCAGGGCCCAAGCACTTGGGCCATCCTCCACTGCACTCCCTGGCCACAGCAGAGAGCTGGCCTGGAAGAGGGGTAACCGGGACAGAATCCGGCACCCCGACCGGGACTAGAACCCGGTGTGCTGGCGCCGCAAGGCAGAGGATTAGCCTAGTGAGCCGCGGCGCCAGCCTCTAGGAGTTCTAGGAGGGGATCCTTCTCTGGCTTGTATTGGCTTCCCAGCATCTAGACAGTGCCTATCACATAGTAGGCACTCTGCTGTTTTTGAATGAATGAGCTCCTATTAAATCGTATCTGCCATTGATTTGTAGGCTTGAGTGATGAGGGACCCTTCCAAGATCCCCTAGGAAAGACTGGGTTAGTGGTGGCATCTTAGACCAGAGAAGAAACTCAAGCGACCTAGCGGGGTTGTTAGGTTGCCCTCATTATTGAAGAGAGGGGAGGTGGAGACCTTGTGCACGCTGGGGGACAACTGATGAGATCTTAAGAACTCAAATAATAGAAGCCCCCATTGTTCTGACATTTCAGCAAAGCAGAGTTCACCTGCAGGTCCTACAGTCCGTGGTGAGAGTGCAATCCACCGTGCTTCCAGAACAGCCTATGTGGATGGGAAAAAATGCCAGGAAAAGGCGGATTTCTGTTTTCTGTCCTTTCCGTGAAGAACGGTTTGGACTTATTTGGAAGAACAATCGGGTAATATATTACCAACAAAACCCAAGGAAAATCTATAAACAGGGTTTCACTATTTATAAAACCTTGTGTGACTGAGGGGAGGCGGGGGGAGGGACCCTCGGTCAGGACATAAATGATTTTTATGACTTGTTTACTACTTCAAAGAAAGTGAAGCTTCAAGAGTGAGATCTCAGTAGCGATGGTTTCCAGGCATACCAAGAATTACAAGACAACAAAGGGATTTTATATCCTGGGACAAGTGGGCAGATGACCAAGAAAACCTGCTCCCTCGCCTGCCCAGCGCCCTCCCGCACTGCTGTCTGGCCGAGGTTGCGCGCCAGAGTGGAGGGGAAGCAGTGTACGCACCTGTAGATTTTATTGCCCATCACTGTTTCTCTGGCAGCGTGTATTCTGAGGCTTGCTTTAAGAAATCCAAACCCACAATTATGTCTTGAAACGTTTGTCTCTGGGAACTGCAGACATTGAAGGTTTATTTTGAGGCCATTTGCATAGTGCAGGCTTGGTCCCTACTCTAGCTTTGTGGCAGAAAGCTGCAGTCGCTACCGCAGGAGCTGTGATTATTAACGCGTCTGCTGGAGCAAAGAAGCTCCTGAGGCCAAAGGCTGTTTTATTGTCTTTTGCCATCTTTGACACCTGGGTCTTCCGAACCCTGCCATCACCATCTTCCCTGATCTTGCTTGTTTAAGTGGGTGGATGTTTTACTTATTCACTCCCCAAATGCCCACAGCAGCCAGGAGCCAGGAGCGCCATCCAGGTCTCCCCCCATGGTGGTGGAGACCCTATTACCTGAACTGTTACCACTTTCTCCCCGGGGTCTGTGTTGGCAGGGGGCTGGACTCAGGAACCCTAGATGACTATCAAACCTAGGCACTCTGATATGAGACTCAGGTGTTCTAACCATCAGCTTAACTACCAGGCCAAATACCTCTAGTTCTTATTCTTTTTTAAATTATTATTTTTAAGATTTATTTATTTGAAAAGCAGAGTGACAGAGAGAGTGGAGAGAGAGAGAGAGCGCGCTTCCATCTGCTGGTTCACTCCCCAAATGGCTGCAACAGCTGGAGCTGGGTAGATGGGCAGATCCAAAGCCAGGAGACAGGAGCTTCTTCCAGGTCTCCCATGTGGGTGCCTGGGCCCAAGCACTTGGGCCATCCTCCACTGCTTTCCCAAGCACATTAGCAGGGAGCTGGATCATAAGTGGAACAGTCAGAACTTGAACCTGTACTTATATGGGATGCCGGTGCTGCAGATGATGGCTTGACCAGCTTCACCACAGTGCTGCCCAACCCCCATTTATTCTAACTGTGGCAAAAGGCACATAACAAAAATGTATCATCTTGGGGCTGGCGTAGGTTAATTCTCCTCCTGCAGCACCCACATCCCATATGGATGCTGGTTCTGGTCCAAGCTGCTCCACTTTCTGTCCAGCTCTCTGCTGCGGCCTGGGAAAGCAATGGAAGATGGCCCGAATCCTTGGGCTCCTGCACCCACGTGTGAGACCCAGAAGAAACTCCTGGCCTCAGATCGGCCCCACTCCAGCTATTGCAGCCATTTGTGGAGTGAAACAGCAGATGGAAGACCTTTCTCTCTGTCTCTCCCTCTCTGTCTGTAATTCTACCTCTCACATAAATAAAATTTTTTTAAAAATCATCTTAATCATTTTTAAGCATGCAATTCAGTAGTGTTAATTATATTCATGTCATTGTACAACATCCCCAATTTTGCCTCCTAAATACTTCTGAGGTCCACTCACTTCCCTCCAGTCTTTGTTGAAGCCTCATGCAGATGCCCAGGTGGAGGGAGAGGGAGAAACCCAGCTTACAGCCCCAGCTGAGCTCCAGATGGACAGCTGGTACTGACTGTCGGCCTCGGGAGTGAGCTGGGAATAGACACCGCAGGTCTAATTGAGCTGCCCCTGCTGAGAGCACGTGGAAGACAGGTGAGCTTGCTTCTTCAGCAACCAAATGGCCAAATGCTTAGCAAACACGTGGATGGTGTTGTGTCAAGCCACTAAGTTTGAGGGTAGCTTGTTATTCAGCAACATATGACCGAAACGTAACTGGGGGCCTGGAGGTGGGGTCCTGCTGAAGTAGTGGCATGGAGGTCAGGTGCAGGGTAGGAGTGCAAGAACCCTGGGCAGTCTGTTAG